TTGTGTTAAAATCAAAACAATCAGAACCCTCTGATTCATAAGGCTATTCTTATTGTGGGTAGACACTTCCCCTCTCCACTTCCTTACCAATACGCAAGTGTTGTTATATGTTTTGTACTTTTAAGTGAGGATTGAACTTATTCTGCTTGAGAGACAGATCGCTTTGGTCATTGCTAAACCGTATCTCTGAGTGAAAGAAGTCGGTATTATTTTTTCAGCTACAGTGAAAATAAAGAACATACTTTCAGTATCTGATTTTAGTATTTCATAGCCAACTTCATGTATTTTTTGGCTGTGTGGATATTGGTGCTTTTTTCTTTCTTCTTTTCGTCTGTATAGATGGGGGAACATTTGCTAGCTGATTGTTTTTTTTACAGAAATATGTTTCAATACGATATTCAGACTTCGAAGCAAGATCCTCAGCCGACTTGACCCCACCGCGCAAGGAAAATGAACATCATTGTGGAGAGCAGTTTCTATATCGGCAACAATGAATATTAGAACACACAGTAAACTAACCTGTGGAATTAGCTATAAAGAAGAGGGTCACTTGTGCAATACATTATGGCAGTCTGCATATTCATATATACAACGAAGTGTGCGAAAATAGTGCCAAACTTACAGACTAGCAAGTGGTATTTGTCACTCCTTGCTCAATTTCAAATGCAAGTCTTGCAAGAATTGATGATAGTTTGTTTGGGTAATATATCTGGGTGCGTATGAGCTCTAACCATGACTTCTCGGATCAGAAATTTGATGGACCTTGCGCGATTCAGCACTTGTATATTGTCCCACAGCGCGAGAATAAGGTATTGATTCTTTTCCTTTTGCAAGGGCATCTACATTCTCAAGCAAATACTGTTTTGGAAGACGGCCAACAACATTACCTTCCTCGTTTCCATCTTTATCCAGGAATGCAAAATGGGGGATACCCTCAACTCCAAACTCATCAAGCTCTTGTTCCCACTTCGTGTTATCCACATTCAACATAACAAAATTCACGCGGTCCCTGCATTAACAGTATGAACCTTAACAACAACAACAACATACCCAGTGTGATCTCACAAACGGGGTTGGGGAAGGTGAGATATACACAAACTGTTCCCGATAGACAAGAGCATGAACCTTCTTAACAGAACTGTTCATGGACTTGTGCTATGCATATTGCTAACTCTTAACACATGCTTCAAAGAGAAACTCAAACATGCACATACTATTGAAGAAATGGAAATTTCTCTCTGAAAAGAAAAACTAAAAGACAGCTCTATTATATTGATTGGAAAAAGTGTAGGTTATCAGTAATCAATAACAAAAAAAAGAGATTTACTTGTACTGCTGTTCAACTTTATAGACATCTGGAGCTAATTCTCGACAAACTTCACACCAATCGGCATAGAATTCTACAACAGTAGGCTTTCCATTGGAAAGAGCCTGCATGGGATGAGATCAAAAAGAAAATGTAAGAAAGAAGCTACAGTTGAAACGACTCAATAGAGAAAGTACGTATCTGTGATTTAGAGGAAAGGAATATAAAAGAAAACTACAGGTAGGCTTAGATTTGCTTAGGGTAGGGTGTGTTATCATATTTTTAAAGAAATAAACAAAGCCTTGTGTTGTGTCAACTAAAAGTAGATTGAAGCAAAGGAGATAACAAATGAACGCAACAAAACAAATAATCATAGGAAATGATGGTCAAGCTTGTACACTAACCTCTTCATATGGCAGTGCTGCAGCCGTGATATCCTTCAAAGAAACACCTAAATCTAGCCTTGGAGAAGAGAAAAGTCCTAGTGCTGCAAGGACAGACACTAGTGCTACCCGCCGATTAAAGTCTCTGGTTGGATATTCAGGGCCAGTAGAGGGAGGAGAGACTTCAGCTTTACTACTCTCATTGCCAGCACCTGGTTCTATTGACGACTTCTCCTGTACAATACACATTTAGCTGAACCATCAGATTCTAGTCAAAATATTACACCAGACATGAATAATATCCAAGGGATTATTATCAGAATGGGTCAGTGTGCATTGAGAAAGCTGTAATGCCATCAAAATTGTATATATATCAACTTGAAGATTATATTGCACCACTAGCTATACTTTCTATGTAAATGCATCACCTCACCAGCGAAACCTCAAACATTGCAAAGTTGATATTAATGAATTTAGTTTCTTTGTTAATACTATTTCTTTTTCTATGCAACATATTATACCAGAGCTTTCACATATAAATAGGTATGTTGGAAATTATTAACACTATATTTCCTTTTCATTAAGTAATAAGTCAATTAACAACTTTCAAGTTTATTTTATTCGGGGAGAGGTGACTTCCCAAGGACATGACCCTAGATAGGAGGATATGGATGTCGAAGATTAGGGTAAAAGGTTAATAGGTAGTCGAGCGTTGTCTAGATTCCCTAATCATTAATATTGTTATTACTCTCCTACTATCTTGTTCTTTGATTTTACTATTACCTGATATTTTTCTTTGTTTTCGGTTATCCTTTACTTGATCCGAGGGTCTATCCAAAACAACCTATGTACCTTCATAAGGTAGAGATAAGGTTGCATACACAACGCCCTTTCCAGACCACACGTGTGGAACTACACCGGGTATGTTGTTGCTTTTTGTTAAGTAACTTACTATATTTTCATAACCACGGAGTCTGGACCAAAACAACCTATGTACCTTCAGAAGGTAGAGATAAGGTTGCATACACACGGCCCTCCCCAAACCCCACTAATGGAACTACACCGGGTATGTTGTTGCTTTTTTGTAAGTAACTTACGATATTTTCATAACCGTGGAGTCTGGACCAACTTGAGTGCATCTCGACTAATTCCATAGGATACTCGCTACCTCTCACTAATCACGGTGTTTCGCCAACTTGGACACACCTCGACTAATTCCTGGGATATGTGCTAACTCTCACTAGCACAAGTAGCATAACTTTCTCCACCCCACCAAGGCTTAGATAGGTGGAAAGAAATCATCAAATGATATTTGAACCTAAGACCTCAGGATTATCAACCCTCTTCATTAGCCACTACGCCACATCCTGAGACTAATTAACAACACTCCATTTTCTTTTTAAGTAGGTCAATTAACGACACTATCACTAACTACTTCCCTCAACATGGGAATTTGACCCAAAAGGTCCTTTAAGTAAAGGGTTGCTCAATTTCCTCCATCTTCAATCACACTAAAACAAAAATACCCTTTTCAAAAGTTCACAAAACTGCACACTTTTTAGTTTTTACTCCACTGCTAACCCACCCAAATAAACCTTAACGGATATCAACAAAAACAACAAAGAAAGTGAAAAGACTAAACCTTTACTGCAGATTCAGACGGGTCAGAGTTTGGTTGGCAGCAATCCCCTGTTTTGGGCTCTGTTTGGCAGTATATTCTTTGATACTTTCGAAGATTGTTCAGCTGATAATTGAAAGGTTTCACAGAGTGCAAAGTTTGATTAGGTCGAAAATGAAAGGGCTTCGGTCTATGTAGTCCAATAGAACTAGAAGCCACTTTAGCCATGGCGAAAAAAACTTTTTTTTACCTTCACTGATTTGAGAAAATGGCGAAAATCTTGGGAGCTAGTGGACATAGATGCTTGCTTGTTTTTGTAGATTTTTCAGTACTGGTTTTGACCATTTAAAACGGCACCGTATTCGTTTACTATCTATTAATATTGGATTTTTCGTGAAACGGATTTAGATTTTAAAGGGATAGGTCTGAAAAATATCTCAACTTTGGTCGAATTTGATGTTGCGATACTAAACTTTCATGAGGACCTATTACCTCCCTAGACTATTTAATATCATATTTTAAACATATATATTTGCCCACGTGGACATAAAAAAAATGCAAAATTATAAATAGTAATGTGTCCACGTGGGCACATATATACCTTAGTTCAGGGGTAAAAAAATATGGTATTAAATAGTTTAGGGAGATAATAGGTCCTTATGAAAGTTTAGTATCGCAACAACAAATTCGATCAAAATTGGGATATTTTTCAGACTCTTATCCCTATTTTAAACTTTACAAGTTTAGAAATGATCGATTTTGACTTTAGAGGATTAGTAATGAATTTAAATGGGTTTAAAATTTTATTATTCATACATTTATAAAGGTGCTCTAGCGAGTCATTTCATTTTTGTGACTAAAATTTAACTTTATTAAACAAGCAAGAAACGTTCTTTCTATTCATATTAGTCGAGACTAACTAGAAGAAACAACTTATACTAGAAATGTTTTGGACCAAAACAAAATTATTGGATTCAATCCAACTAGTATGTTTTATTGTGTTAGGTTACATTGATGAAAAATATACTTAACATGATCTTATAGTTTTGTTTTAACTCAATTCCGCATAATTTTTTTTTTTGAAAAATCATATTATTAACAATATTCAACATTTTATGGGTAAAAATATTTCCTCCTTGAAACTTTGTCCATATTCAACTACCACATTTTATTTTCGCCCTCAAATTTCTTGTCAAAAAAAAAATAAAATTAGAATATAATTAACAAACAAGATTTCTTATATCTTTTTATGTGAAAATAGAAATTTCTCATAAAATTAAAAATAAGTTTGTAAACTACAATAAAATCAACTCCCCCAATTTTCCATTTTCATAAAGATTATATTTTTTTTTTTGCTAAGAAATAATATGAATCATGTAATTATCATTTCTAATGTTATAATTTTATTTTATTTTTTACCGTGGTTTCCGGGCGTCGCTTTGCGAACCCGACTAGCTGTACCCATCGGGTCCCGCTGTTTCAAGGCGGGTCCACCACGGTTAGTTCCACGGGGCCCTGGAGACGCGGCCGGTTTGTAATGCCTCCAGTGGCCCTGCTGGGGCTCGAACCGGCGACCTGAATGACTTTGTCCCAGGCCTTTACCAGCTGAGCTACCCCTCAGGGTTATTTCTAATGTTATAAATTCTTACCTTATCCTATATTGAAAATTGCTTCAAGGTGAGTGAGTCACAAAGGGGAGTAGTGTTATCTTCATCACTTCTGCATTTCTGCTTAGAACTGAAAAAGAAAATGGCGACTCCAATTTCCATCCAATTGAATCCTTCAATTCTCTCATTTCCATCAAATTCTACAAAAGCTCAATTCTTTCAACCCAATGATAAATTCTTGCTTAAACAAAAACTCAATTCATCTTCCCGCCAATTCTCCTCCTCCTTTCTTCAACAACAGCTCCCAGTGCACCAGCTGGCTTCAGCTCGATTGGTGGCGGTGGCGGCAGCAGCAGCAGCAGCTTCTGGTGTTGTTGAAACTGTTGAAGATAAACTTCCAGCTGATCTTCATGTTACTGAGACACAGGAACCCAATTCAAGGGTAAGTTATTTGGTTACCTTCTTAGGGTTAACCCCGCTCCAGTGTAATAACTCGCAAATCACATGAGAGAGGTAAATTGCACTAGGCAAGTGCAGTGCGATGAGCTCGAAATAATTCTTCATAAAGATTTGATTTTTAGGCTAACATAGTGACAACTCAGCATGGTTGGAGCTAGAGTATGATTATGGGTTCGGCCAAACTCAGTACCTTTGGTTCAAATTCTATATTTGTCTTAAGAAATTTATTGAATATGTATAAATTATTGATTTTGAATTCAGTAACTTAAAAAAGAACTAGAATCTTGAATACATAAGCTTCAAATTTTGGTTTCGCCCCTAACAAGGGTACACTATTTGGCTTTCTTTATCTTTCTTGCTTTCTTTTTAAATCACATGGTTTAATTCTTCACAAAGGTTTGTTTTTTCATACTCATTCGCTCCGGCCTAGTTTATATGTCATTTTTTGCTTTTTGATATTCAAACTATATGAACTTTGATCAATGTGTTGAACTGTATTTGAGTAGAATTGCAACTTATATAGTACTTCTCTTCTCGTATAATTTTTGGATAATGAAATTTTAATTTTAATATATTGAGTTGATTTAATCCAACTATGAAGATTGTTGGTGTGAGAGAGTGGTGGAGATGAGGGTGAGAAGAGGGGTGTCCATCTCTGAGAATCAGTTTGGATTCATGCCGGGACGTTCGACTACCGAAGCCATTCATCTTATGCGTAGACTGGTAGAAAAATATAGAGAAAGGAAGAGAGACCTACATATGGTGTTCATTGACCTTGAAAAGGCCTATGACAAAGTACCGAGGAATGTCCTCTGGAGGTGCTTGGAGTCTAAAGGAGTCCCGATGATGTATATTAGGGCGATAAAGGACATGTACGGTGGAGCCAAGACTCGGGTTAGAACAGTTGGAGGAGACTCTGAACATTTCCCAGTTGAGATGGGGCTGCATCAGGGATCAGTCCTAAGCCCTTTCCTATTTGCTTTGGTGATGGACGAGTTGACGCGGTCTATTCAGGAGAAGGTCCCATGGTGTATGTTATTTGCGGATGACATAGTACTGATTGATGAGACGCGGGACAGAGTTAATGCGCGGTTAGAGGTTTGGAGACAAACGCTGGAGTCCAAAGGGTTCAGGTTGAGTAGGACCAAAACAGAATATTTGGGGTGCAAATTCAGTGATGTGGTGGATGAGACAGATGTGGAAGTGAGACTTGCCGCACAAATCATTCCTAAGAAGGAAAGTTTTAAGTATCTTGGGGCTGTAATCCATGGGAGTGGTGACATCGACGATGATGTCACACATCGCATTGGGGCTGCTTGGATGAAATGGAGGCTTGCCTCTGGAGTATTGTGTGATAAGAAAATTCCACCGAAACTTAAAGGTAAGTTTTACAGAGTGGTAGTTAGACCGGCCTTGCTGTATGGAGCGGAGTGTTGGCCAGTCAAGAACGCACACGTTCATAAAATGCATGTTGCGGAGATGAGGATGTTGAGATGGATGTGTGGGCACACTAGGAGCGACAGGATTAGGAATGAGGTTATCCGGGAGAAGGTGGGAGTGGCCTCTGTGGTGGACAAGTTGAGGGAAGCGAGACTGAGATGGTTTGGACATGTGAAGAGACGGAGCGCAGACGCCCCAGTGAGGAGGTGCGAGGTAATGGTGGTAGAGGGTACGCGGAGGGGTAGAGGTAGGCCCAAGAAGTATTGGGAGGAGGTGATTAGACAAGACTTGGCTATGCTTCACATTACCGAGGACATGACTCTAGATAGGAAGGAGTGGAGGTCACGTATTAAGGTTGTAGGTTAGTAGGGCTAGCGTGTTGTCTTCCCTTGCAAGGGTATGGGTTGTTAGAGTTTGGAGTAGACCTAGCCTTATGATGTTTACTGCGTTTCACGCATCGCATTACTTTCTTGTTGTTACTGTCTCATTTGTTGATTATACGCTATCGTTTGTATTGGCTGTTATGTTTTATATATATCTCTCCTGTCACTTAGATTTGTTGTTCTTGAGCTGAGGGTCTCCCGGAAACAGCCTCTCTACCTCCACGAGGTAGTGGCAAGGTCTGCGTACAATTTACCCTCCCCAGACCCCACCTAGTGGAATCTCACTGGGCATGTTGTCTGTTGTCTGAGTTGATTTAATCCAATTTAGCTTTGGAGGATGCATTAGAAAGTGTACCAAATACATCAGGAAAAGTCAAATTTGAGAATCGGAACTGTAGCTTGATCCTATCTATAGTAATTGAAGTATCCAAAGGATTGAAGGCTAACATTCCGTTGCTTCAATTTCTCGAACAAGAGTGTCATTATCATGTCCATCATATAACTTCATTTATTTTCTTTTCCACAGATCAGATTGACTGTAGAAGTTCCAACTGTTGTATGCGAGGATTGCTACAAAAAAGTCATAAAAGAGTTCATGAGACGTTCAAAGGTGATAAACGAGAACCTTTTCTAATTTATTATTGTTGCCAACAACTTGGATAGCTACATTCTATTTTAAGCTAATTTATTGCCTTGAGAAGAAGACTATGACCTTATGATTGTTCATAAATATTATTACATTTAAGTTGATTTTGTTTCTTATACTGGATATCATTCTGATTTTCTATGATCCATATCATTTTATTGAGTATGACTTAAATTTCCATGTTAAATACTAGCAAAGTGTCTTCCTTTTTCGCTAAATTTCTTCTTGACCATCTATTCCATCTCTAAATTCTAAATTCACAGCTACCCTTCGGGGTGGCCCAGTGGTTTGAGCTTGGGACTTCCATGTTGGAGGTCTCAAGTTCGAAACCCCTTGCCAGCGAAAGCAAGGGGTTTGCCTTTTGGGTCGAGCTCGTCGCACCAGGCTTGCCTAGTGCGGGTTACCTCTCCTATGTGGTTTGCGAGCTATTGCATAGGAGCGGGGGTTTTACCCTGTGCGCACCCAAAGGGTAGCGGCTGCGGGTTTCCCTTGTCATCAAAAAAATAAAAATAAAAATAAATCTAAATTCACAGCTGTTATTGAGAGGAATTGAAGTATTTGGTCATACTATCTGTTTTACATGTTCAGGTTCCTGGATTTCGTCCAGGGAAGAATGTTCCAGAAGATATCCTTGTTGGCTTTGTCGGGAAGCAAAATATTCAAAACGCTGTAGTTGAAGCTATTCTGAAAAGAACACTTCCACATGCCATGTCTTCGGTGCGTCATACTACTTCTACCATTGATTAATCTTGTAATAGTTTAAGCTTCTCGAACTGTTGTTACAAATTTGAGGTTTGGATTTGTTACTAGTCAGTAGTCACATCCTGTCAAACGCTTGTGTACCTGTAGCTTTTAGGACCTCTGTATCTCACTAATGTTGGAATCAAGAAAAATAAATACAATGCAGGGCCAAAGTAGTGTCTGTTAATACAGTTTTGGCGGTTCTAGGATGTAGTTTGTATCTTGCTTTGCAAATATTTGATTGCTTGTGAATAATAATAGGGAATTTATATTGTTCTAACGAGCTTTCCATTTTCTTGGTTTGCTAAGTCTGATGCATGGATGCTGTTAAACTGTAGGTTACCCGAAACGCATATGAAGACTCCATCCGCATTGTGACCAAATTTGAAGACATGGAAAAGACTTATCTGTCTCTGAATTGCTTGAGGTTTGTTAAACACTCAAAAGTGAAGATCATTGGTAACTTTATTTTCCACGGCTGCTAAACTTGAGTGTTTCATGATCTAGAGTTTCTAGTTCCTATGAAATGAGCTTTAAAATTGAAAGGTGGGAAGAGTTTGATCTAGTTAAATACTCCCTCCGCCCCATGTGGCACATTTTCCTTTTTAGTCTGTCCCAAAAAGAATGTCTCCTTACTATAATTTGAAATAATTTAACTTTAAAATTCCCTTTACCTTTAATGAAATGATTTATAGCCACACAAATGGTCAAGGAGTGTTTTAAATCACAAATTTAAAAAATCTTCTTTTCTTTTTTAAACTTTGTGTCAAGTCAAACGATGCTACATAAATTGGGACGGAGGCATACTAGTACAGGTGGACGGCCTTTGGGAAGACATGTCACATTCAGATACTGGTCAACTTGACATATCATATCTGCTGTGGCCTATGGTCATGAAAACAAGGCAATTCTTGACCTGTTAGTAATGATGATTATAGGTATGATGTGGCTGTTGATGTGGCTCCTGAAATCAAGTGGAAACCTGACGATGCATACAAGAATATTAAGGTGGTTGTTGAGCTTGACAGCGATATGGATGCTCAAAGAGCTTCAGAAAAAGAGTTGATACGGCGTCACAAGTCTCTGGGTGCATTGAAAATTGTTACTGATAGGGGTTTGCAGGTAACTATTAGTTCTTCAGAGGCTCAGACGAGTCAGGTAGCTTCTTGAAAGCATCTGAAGAGTCTGCGATTGAGTTTACTTAACTCTTTTCTCCTAAGTTGCACAAACTCTTCATTTTTTACGCTGCGCTCGTGTCGGATTCTCCAAAAATACACTTCTTTGGAGAATCCGAAACGAACTGGTTGACATTTTTGAAGAGTCCGAGCAATATAACTTGTCTCTACTTCCTTACTAATTAAGTGTCTAGATTATACATTGAACATGCTAAAAATGATTTATGAAAAAAAAACCATCATGTCTAATTTGCTAAAGAGTTAACAAAATCATATGCAATTTTTACAACTCTTTACTGTCTCCTTCCTAGCTTACTCATTTACAGAGTATTGATCATGTCGGTACTGTTACTTTGTCCAATTTATGTGCATTTGACATAAACTTTGGAGATTTAAGTCCCTCGGACAAACATAAGTAGTTGAGATGGATTTTCTTTTGTGCATAGTAGCTTATCATAAGTATCCAAAAAAATTCCAGGTTGGTGATGTCACAGTGATTGATATATCAGCAACTACGATTGAGCAAGATGGATCAGACGCTAAAACCATACCAGCTGCAGAGAGTAAAGGTCTGTTATTTCTCTGATAGATTATTTGTGATGAAATTACTGTCTCCCAAGTAGGTTTTTAGTTTCTTCTGTAAACTATATGACTGAAGTTTTTCAAGTTCCAATTGCTCGAATGTTTGATTACATAAGTTGCTTCTCTTAAGTGTTTGAGCTGATTGTATCTGTGTCTATGGTTCAGGTTTCAGTTTTGATACAGAAGATGGAGATAATGTCCTTCCCGGATTTCGTGACTCAATTATTGGTATTAAACGAGGTGAAACGAAATCATTCCCTTTGGTATTTCCAGACTCATGGAAACAAGAAGATCTTCGTGGTGTTCATGCTCAATTCACTGTGAGTTCCTACGCTACCTGATAAAGAATTCAAGTGAAGTCAACCTGTCTAGCTGCCCAATGTTTAGAGTTGGCTTTACGAAATCCTCTCTGACTATGTTACTCCATGAAAACTCATTTCATGCCAATGTTATTCTAATAAAATAAAAAGCAGTAGACGCTCTCTATATATCCCGAAATGTATAAATCTCTGAAATGCTAAACCACTCCTAGTGGCAGCTGCTAATAATTACCCCGGAAAAAAAAGAAGAAGGTGTTTTATCCACTATCTCTGCAAAGAAGTAGGTGACTGCCAAAATCGACTTATGTTCCTCAAACAATTTAGTTGGCGGTTTCTATAGAGAAGTATTGCACAATCTTAATGGTCAGTTGAAAAAATTCCAACTTCCTCGATCACTTTAAGGCTGATTGATCATAAGGTTTTCTGAGATCATTCCAAGTTTTTTGCCAATTAGGTGTATTGAGCTTCTCAGTTCAAGTCCTTCCTTCTGTTTTACTTATCAGGTTGCATGTAAGGAACTGTTCTACAGAGATTTGCCCGAGTTGAATGACTCGATTGCTGAAAAGCTTCTCCCAGGATGCAGCTCCATTGAGGAGGTGAGGACTTCTATTTTTCTCATACGTGCAGAGTTACAGGAAAGCAATTTATTTTCCCGAATTACATTGTAGTTGAGGAAATTTCCTGATGCATAATTTGCAGGTCAAGCAAGCGTTGCTACAAAGATGTCTTGAAGTTGAACAGGCAGCTAAAGACCAAGCAACTGATAATGCCATCCTTGACCAGCTATACAAGGTTTCTTTCCATTTCCTTTTTTCTATTAAGCAGCCGCATTTACCAAATACGAACACGGAAGCCATACCGACCTTGTGTTGCTTAATTGATAAATTTCTTCTCATCAGCTCATTCTTGCGAATCACACAAGCTGATTTTTCCCCCAAACTTGTGATTATGGGCTTATGACCATATAAACACACTATCCACTTCCTATGTAACAAAATTCGTCGAGCAACTTTTCTACCCCAATTAGTGAGATCACTTAGGTTTATTGGTACCAGTTGTTCTACTCACTACTAAAAGAATGTTATTGTTTGACATATTATAATGTTGTGATGCCACAGACTCGCACTCATGCATATACCATAAGTTTGGTGACTATTTCTGTACATGTATTGGACTATTGTTTGTTGAACTTTTTATTATGAGTTTATGGTATCTTCTCTTACTTCCTAGATGGTTGAAGTTGATATTCCTCAATCTCTTTTCCAAGAGCAAGGAAGACAACTCTATGGAGCTCAACTTTTACAATTGCAGGTCACACCAGCATTTGCCACTCAGTTATCTCTCCGTTTATGAACTTCTATGCATGCTCTAATTAATCATTATCTTTGTTTAGGCAAATATGAAACTGAACGAACAGCAGCTGGCATCGTTATCAAGCCCAAGGGCCGTGAATGAGTTCCTTGAGACACAAAAAGAAAATATAATAAGTATCATAAAACAAAATTTAGCTGTTGGTGACATATTTACACGTGAAAATTTGCAGGTACGTTTCTTCATCTTTATGTGATCCACCTATCAGAACTCCAATATTATATTTCTTTTAAGTTTTTGTTAATTTCTATGATCTGAGTATCCCCCCCCCTCCCCTCTTTTTTTGCCTGTCTAAAGATTTGAAGAGTTATTAGTAGTTGTTTAAGTGGTTGGTTACGTACGAATTAGTCAAAACAATGAAAGAAATAAGAAGGAAATTCATTTTACTTTGACCAAGTACTGTGAGCATTGAAAAGTAAATTAGCTCTCTAGTAATGATATCCTCATTTTACCGTGAGTAGCCATGAGAAAGGTTCAAATACTTCGGCATGCTGACAATGCAGCTTACCTTTTCTGATCATTATTCATTTACTGGACTTTGCAGTTTTCAACAGAGGAGCTAGTGAAGGAGGTTCAGAACTCAATTCAAGAATTCCAACAGCATCAACAGGAGTACGATGAGGACCGAGTTAAGCTACAGGTTGGTATTTAACTGAATCATTCTGACAATAACCTGTTAAATGTAATTGACCGGAGAACCTCAAGCGACTTAATCATAATAGAAATGCGGAAACTATCTTTACCAAAAATTGTGTCAGTTAAGCAAGTCTCGTGTTTGTTCATATAGTCTGATGGTCCCTCAATGTTGGCCAGGTACAAGAGGTACTTGAAGGGGCTAAAGTACTTGAATGGCTAAGGGAAAATGCAGAGATTCAGTACATAACTAGGTGAAAAGACAGAAAATGTTCAATGTTCACTGATAAGTTTCAACTTATGTTGATGCTTCTGAGAACTCCGTCAACGTTGGTGTTCCCAAATTAGTCAAAGAATTTCAGCAACTGATGTGATAAATGCTTCAAGCAAGTTTCAGCAGTATCAATTTTCCAGAACTTATATTGCTGCACGATTGTTGGCTCGAGCTGAAGGAGCTCTGCAAAATCTTGAGCATCTTTTTTGATCTTCAAATTCAATATCCAGGATGATGAATCGTCGCCTTTTTAAAGTTGGTGAACTGAAACTACACTTATTTGAGAGGCACTCAAGAGCTGTTTATTTGTATACACTTTAACCAATTCATTTTTAATTCAAACCTTCTGTTACCTAGTCTGAGTGTGTTTATGCTTGCCTAGATTATGAGATTAAGCAATTTATTCCTTCTTTTTGGTTAATAAAATCTTTTTAAGTTTCTTCTCAAGTCATCACTGTGTTTGTCAGTATTTAAAGCACCTTACATTATTTAAGGTTGATCTTGGCAAGTAAGCATAGTAATTTGGTGCAAAACTTTCTCTGAGAATGAGTTTAAGAAGAGAAAATGTGCAAGAAAGGGACACCCCTCATATCTCAACCAATAAAAAAAAATACTTTGTGCAAAGTTGATAACACTGTTCAATAATTTTTCATCTGCCTCTGCCTAAATATCTGGCCCAGCCTATAGTAAAGTGTTTTCTGATCCTCAAAGCTGAGATTCCTTACTATCTGCAGCAAACAAGTTAATCAGTTAGCTTACTTATGCACAACAAGAGGGTAGTGTGTATCTGGATCTTACCCCTACCTTAGGAGGTAGTGAGATTGTTTTCGAGAGTCCCTCGGCTCAAGGAAAAACAATCCAAAAGAAGTAATGGAAGTACAAGAAACAACAGGAGCAATACTATGACTACTAATATAAACGGACAACAAGACAACACACTGCTGTTGATTGTAGAATCAGCAAGTACCTGATCTAAAATCATGTCAATAGAGTAGTCTTGAGGAACAAATGACTGATAGTAAATGTAGACAAAAATGGCCATCACCATCTGCACATATATAACACAACCTTAGCTTATCTTACACTGTTGACCTTCACATAATAGGAACCATTTTGGTCTCAAAACAAGAGAAATCAAGTATTTTATCTGTTTCTTGAGTATTACCTGGCAATCCATCCTATCAGTGAAACCGCCATGTCCAGGAATGTAATAGCCAAAATCCTGGACGATTCCATGTAAATGAAGGAAATGAATGACTAAAATGTACAAAAATAACATTCAGTTTCCATTAGAAGCTGTACAGACCTTGATCTTAAAGGCTCTCTTGAATCCACTAGCAAAAAATCCCCCAAACGGAGCGATTATGGATGCAAATAAACCCAAGCATAAAGCATGCCATTGCACAGGAAGTATCGATATCTCCTTCAGAGGGAACTGTAAGATTTCACTAAATGATAATGAGTATGTAAGTCCTGTAAGCAACAGAGCAATTCAAGTAAAATGTAGAGTGCTGAGGAAGTTTACGACATTTGCTTAGTTCTAGATGAATGTTGACATGAGTTGAGCTTAAATGAAACAATGAAGATTCATATAGCTGATCTCAACTTGTTTGAGACTTAATGTTGTTGTTGTTGATAATATGAATCGAACAAAATATTTGATCAAACTTAAAACTCAGCAAGTAAGAAAGACCACATATCCTTAGTTGAAAGAACTGTCAAAACAGTTGCAGAGGATTCATTCTATCAAGTTACCATTAGGATGATCTATACCATGAGTTTTGAGGCTGAACAGTTTTATACTTTTAATTTCGCGATGAGAGAGGGGACAACTTTAGTTAATATACATCCCGGAAAAGCAAGATCATAGTTTACACAGAAAAGCAATAAACATCCCGGATGCAGACTCACCCATCGAGTCAATCCAGCTATGGAATAGTATTCTGGTTTGAATAGAGGACCAGGATCACACTGAAGCCAACCAGTCGATAGATCCTGTATTTGCTTTGTTAGATTAGTAATCATCGAGAATCATACTCGATATCTTTCTTTAACTTACATAAAATATCTCACCTTTCTTGGACATGTCAACCATTGGAAACGACCAAGGACATTTGCAAACTGCATAGAAGCTGAAAATTTCAATTATACAAAACTTACATTTTGTTACAGTATACTTCACATTACAATTTTCTGTCTAAAGAGATGAGGGAAGATCAAGTAACAAGCTGTATATGATATACCACCTAATGCATGCAATACAATCAATGCCAAAAGCTACATTAAGTATTGGATACGTTAAGATATGGACCTTATGCCTAATTCAACGTCAAAAGCTAGCTCATGAGGGGAGGACTACTCAAGTCAGTATAAGGAGATCACTAGCCCATTTTCCGACCAATGTAGGACTCTAACTCACTCTAAGACACCCCACATGCCCAGACCACCAACAGGAGCGTGAACAAATAACATGGAGGGCTGAAACAGGGATGGACCTGGCTCTGATACCATATTACTAAACAAGGACGGACCTAACATTATCAGTTTGATCAGAAAATAGTAGGAAGATAAAAAAAAAAACTGGAAGTCCTGAAAAGGTGCCACTGACCAAGAAAGCTGTTATCATGGTGGCAATAGATCCTCCAATGAAGCCTTCCCATGTCTTTTTCGGAGACAGCTTGATCAAAGGCGTCTTCCCAAAGAAAAAACCGAAGAAATAAGCTGCTACATCATTCATCGCGATAAGTGATGCTGGAAGAAGGAACCTGCAACAGAAGAATCAAATGTTTATGCACTCTACATGAGTAAAAAACTGTTATATCATCATTTATTAACTTCCTGAGAACTTATATATTACCAAAAAATGCCTTCAAATATGTTGGCTACAGTAAAAGAGGATTGTGTGAAGACCACAAATAGAACCATGTGAGTCCATGCATACTGACCAAATTGATACTTGTACGTCTTCTTCTTTAACGTTAGAATGAACCAAACAAGTCCTGCAAATACAAACAACCATCACATATTTAACATCTCCTGTTAAAAAGCTTGTGAAACACAATAAGGTAAGTTAAGGCGTATTCTCAAAATCCCTATATCCATAGCTATGACAATAGGGACGTTATTTGGTAATATAAGACGATTTCTTCCACTTCTTAATCCCAAACAATTCGATTAGGGGTATCAATACACAAAGATTTAAGGTCATTTCTTCAAATTGCTCTCCGTTTTCTAAGTTCTTAAAGTCATAAATGATAGAGTGACTCAAAAAATGAAAAGAAAGAAATTTGAAGTAAATAGATGTCAATGAAAATAATGTTATTCCAAGTACAACAACAACAACAATCCTAGTGTAATCCCACAAGTGAGGTATGAGGAGGGTAGAGTATACGCAGACCTTATCTCTACCTTGTGGAGGTAGAGAGGATGTTTCTGAAACATCCTCGGCTCAAGTGATGCATCAAAACCAAAATGTATTATATCGAACTTTTCAAAAAGATGAACAAACCTGCTATGTACAGAAAATAGCAAAAGACCATCTGATACTTTATGACCTTGCTTACTAACTTATACGAGAATTCATCAATAGTTGCAGTATTCACAAGTTGTTGGCTGAGTATACGTCCATATACAAACAACATGCCAGTGAAGAAAAAGTACCTGAATCGAACAATATAAAATGCATACTCTAGTTATATATCTCTTTTCAATTTTGAGTAGTCGAAACTCGAAATCATAGTAAAGTACAGAGGAATTATTACCAATTTAGTTGCCTAAATCCAGGAAGACACTTATCTTCATCTGTTCGTCTAAGTAGATTGAACAACTCAGATGTCATGATGATTTGGATCACAACAACCATTGCACAAATATACAAATGACCCAAGTAAAGTATGATTATAATGCTTATAAGCATCCATAGAGACGAATACGTTCGAATCCACATTGTTCTGTATTTGTTTTGATCATCCATAAGTAAATGACCTCCATTTAATTTGCTTAGCTCGGGAAATATCTGACATAAAACGACATTTCACAATAACAATCATATTTTCTCTGAAATCGATCTTTCTTACGTTATATTAACAACATTTTGCTATAACAACTGAGAAATATCTGAATTACAATATCATAAAGGAAAGAATACCACATCTTGCGTCCGTCTACGTCGAATTCGGGTTGGTGTTGATGGTGATGAAGGCATCATATGATCATGCATTGTTAATTTTAATTTTATTTTTCTTCTTCTTCTTGTACCTTAATTAAAGATGAGGTGATCACTTTTGTGTAAGTTAATTAGTTGTTAATTTCTTAGATTAATCACAAGTTACGTGAAAATTAATTAATCTAGTTTTAGCTAGATCATGAAAAAATTAAAATTAAAATGGTAATTCGTAGTTGCTGATTTATCGCTAATGTGTAATAAAATTACAATTGAATATTAAAACTTTGTCCGCTTCACTTGCATGTTACGGTTGGTCTTTTCATTGCCAAGTGGCACTCATTTTAACTTAACTAGTCTCTAGATATTCTTGTTAATTATTAAAATACTAGTAAACTCATTCGTTCTTAAACGTGATAACAACTTTAATTTATTATCGTTTTATACATTGTTTTATCTACAAACATGAACAAATGTAATTCACTATCTATAAACTAATACCATAGTTAAAAATATATTAGTTAAAAAAAAAAAACTAATAAGTATAAGTGTCAAAATAGAAACACTGCAACAATTACTTGCATCTTTCTCTGTTTAAAACAAAAGGATAACAGTGTAAAAATAAGGTGGCATTATAAGAAGGGGAAAAAATATATCAAACAGATATTAATCAAAATTCATATCTATCATAAAAGCATTCATCCTTAGCCAAAAACAAATTAAACAAAAGTAAACAAAAGAATTATGTACCTATACAATCGCCTCTCTTTTTTCATTATCTTTTATTTTATTAATCAGCATAACATATATACTATGTTATTAATAAGCATAACATACACTATTGTTGAAAATGAATAAAAAGTATATATATGCAAAAATATTATTGAATGATTATTGCTCCCAAAATTTAATGCAAAAAGAAAATGTAAGAGTAATTATATTGTTGAATATATGGGGGTTATAGAAAGGGGGAAAATGAAGAAATATAGACATTCACTATCCATTAATTATTGGGTTTATTAAAGAATTAAAACTCATTATTAAAGGCATGATATATTACTATTACGTGGGCCGATTTTTTATACATAAAAAATATTTAGTATATTATTATGTTATCATTATATAAAAAAGAAGAAAAAATATAGGAAATTAATGCAAAAAATAATAGAGTAAA